GTAGTAGTAGTAGTAGTAGTAGTAGTAGTAGTAGTAGTAGTAGTAAGTAGTAGTAAGTAGTAGTAAGTAGTAGTAAGTCGTAGTAAGTCGTAGTAGTAGTAGTAGTAGTCGTAGTCGTAGTCGTGTAGTAGTAGTAAGTAGTAGTCGTAGTAGTAGTAGTAGTAGTAGTTAGTAAGTAGTAGTAGTAGAAGTCGTAGTAGTAGTAGTAGTAGTAGTAGTAGTAGTAGTAGTAGTAGTAGTAGTAGTAGCAGTAGCAGTAGTAGTAGTAGTAGTAGTAGTAGTAGTAGTAGTAGTAGTAGTAGTAGTAGTAATAGTAGTGCCATCAGTATCATGCGTGCAGTCGTCCCGCAGCGCACTTTGGAGAGTGGTCTGCCCAGGTTCCCGTAGCGAGCACGTCCGTCCAGAAGTGACTTGCGCGAAGCGTGTTGGGTATCACTGGGCGCCTCGGGCCGCGGCTCGGTAACTTTGCGCAGCGAGCTCAGCCTTCGGCTGCCAAGCGAATAGACTAAGGCCCCTCGGAAGCAAGGAGTCGGTACACTTGGTCCCTACCCCACGTCCCGAGAGTCAGAAGTGGCAGAACTTTCGAGGACGCCTCGCTGTTGTTGGCCACCATCACGGCAGCAATAGCCTGCAGCACATCGTCGGGGCACCTGCCTTCTGCATTGCTGACGACGGTGCTTGCTGAGCTGGTGATCTTGGTCGAACACCAGTCCAGGGCGGCGTTGCTGCGGCAAGGGGCCATAGTTCTGAATTTTAAATTTTGAATTTCGTATAAGTTCCGCGCTTGCTGCGACAGCTGTGACCACTCCGTGTCTGCGACATCCTCGCCGTGGATGCGACGGATGTCGTCTTGCTCCAAAGCATCGCGTATAGCAAGGAAGTCGTCGTAGCCGGCTTCCGACTATGAAAGGAAATCCCCCAAGGGTTTGCACCTAGAGTTCTTGACTGGTTGACAGCCCCACTTCCCCGTGGCAAGGGATAGCACCCGCAGTAGCGGAAAAGAGTGAGGGGCTGGGTGGGCCAGCGCGGCCATGCGACCCACCCGCGGCCCACCCGCCTCGCGAGCCCCCGAAACCCATCGGCCCCACGACCCCTGATCCTGTTGTCCGTATACGTTTCACCTTTTCTGTGCCTCCTTTAGGCCGTTTTCGAAGCGTCTTGGGCCCTTCGTGCGCGTTCTTGGGCCTTCTTGGGGCGATGGTGGGGCCCTCTTGAGTCGTGGTCGACGCTCTTGAGACTGAGAAGGCGGCGACTCGAACAGCATACGAAAACCAATCGGGATTTTACGATTTCGGCCCGTCGGATTCGCCCGTAAAGCCCTCGGCATTGCCAAAGAGGCGTCCCGGAGGGTTCCAGGGCGACCTCTTGGGGCCACGTCAGGCTTCGTTCGAAGCATCGCCTACCCGCCGGAGACCTTGCCAGAGACGGACGTCCTGGCCCCAGAACCAGTTGTCCATGTATGATTCGCCTTTTCGGGGCCTCTCTGTCGCCGTCTCGGAGGTCTCTTGCGCCCTTCTTGGGTGTTCACGGGCCGTCTCGGGGCCATAGTGGGGCTCTCTCGGGCCGTGGTCGACGCTCTTGAGACCGAGGAGGCGGCGATGCTGAAATGATGCGGAAACCGATGAGATTTTGACGACTTTGGTTTCTCGGGTCCGCCCCCAGAGCCCCGAAGACAGCCAAGGAGGCGCCCCAGAGGATCCTCTGGGGCGACCGCATGGGGCCACGTCGGGCCAGAGGCATCACGTACCCGCCAAAGGGCCTCGCCAGAGACGGCCTGCCTCCCACTGCGAAGCCTGCTGGATTGCATCCTTGCGATGTACCCCCCAGCGTCGAGCAACGGTCGGCGCACCTTCTCCTCCTCCTCCTCCTCCTCCTCCTCCTCCTCCTCCTCCTCCTCCTCCTCCTTCTCTGCCTGCTCCTTCTCCCCCGCCCGCCCGCCAGGCGAGACCCACCAGCGGTGCCAGCGAGCCTTCGCTCTGCTCAGCGAGATGGGGAAGCCGAAACCGGAACCCAGCGTCATCTCGTCAGGGGACGCAGTCCACGGGTCAGCCTCAGTTAGCTACAATGCTGGGGTCAGCGCATGCGAAAAGGGCGAGCAGTGGCAGCGGGCTCTTGCGCTGCTCAGCGAGATGAGGGAGGCAGAGCTGGAGCCCGATACCATCTAGACCGCAATTCCAGTCGCAGCGCGTGCAAAACGAGGTATAAGCAGCGGCCGCCAAACGAACCCAAACGTCTCCGAGAGGCACCCCCCACGCGAGCCGTCCAGGAGGCTTCGAGACTCGAAGGATGCCCCGAGACGGCGCGAACATGGCTCCAAGTTTCCAGGCCTCCTTGATGTATCGGCGCATGGCCGATGCTTCGGCGATGTGGTTCGACGCGGAGCCCAGGGGGGGGAGGAGGAGCAGGAGGAGGAGGAGGAGGAGGAGGAGAAGGACGAGGACGAGGACGAGGACGAGGAGGAGGAGGAGGAGGAGGACCAGTTCAAACCCAAGAGTCATCAACGATGCTGGAATACACCCTCCCTCCGAGCTCCCTCTTCATATGCCCCTACACGGGTTCATTTCCACAGGGAACTGCCTCGTTGGAAAGCAACCGTTTGAAGACCGTGATGCATGCCAGAACATCGTTCACCGGATTTGGATTCCAACGCCACGGATCAACCTGACTGTTGCGTCTTGACGATCCTGAATCGTGACGGAGCGCCATTCGTGGGACTTCAACACCGCGAGCCAACGTAACTGTTGCACCTCAAAATCCAGAATCCTTCCAACACGCCATTTCTGGTACGCTGACCATGGGAACCCGTGAAACTCTTGCAAATGTTGAAAACGAGTGTGCGCGTCGCTAAGGCGAGAGCCACATTTTGAACAGGAACCGCCCTCAATCCGTGAAACTCTTGCACATCTATAAACGAACGTGCGCGTCGCTAAGGCGAGGACCACAACTTGAATAGGAACCGCCCTCATTCCGTGAAGCTCTTGCAAATGTTTGAAACGAATGTGCGCGGCGCGAAGGCAAGAACCCGCCCTCCACCTGTTAAGCTGTTGTCAATGTTTTATCTTTCAGGGCCATAAGTGGTGAGGAAGTCCCGGGCGAAACGCCCGGCCCGCCCTAAAAACTGGCCTCGCGGTGCGACAGGGAGAAGTTAGTTATCTATGAAGGGACAAGAATGGAGGAGGAGGAGGAGGAGGAGGAGGAGGAGGAGGAGGAGAAGGAGGAGGAGGAGGAGGAGGAGGAGCAGGAGGTGGAGGAGGAGTTGGAGGAGGTGGAGGAGGCGGAGGAGGAGGAGGAGAAGGAGGAGGAGGAGGAGGAGGAGGAAGAGGGGGAGGAGGAGGAGGAGGAGGAGGAGGAGGAGAGGAGGGAGGAGGAGGAGGAGCAGGAGGAGGAGGCGGAGGCAGAGGCGGAGGCGGAGGCGGAGGAGGAGGAGGAGGAGGAGGAGGAGGAGGAGAAGGAGGAGGTCTCCACGCCAACGCCGCCGATGCACTGGCGATGCGGTGCAATCCTCCGACCCCGTCTGCTCGGGCCCGCTTCTGGGAGGCATCAGGGGAGGCGCACCCTCGGCCGTCCGCCAAGGGCCCTCGGGAGCCAAGCAATTCCTCCGCCTCCTTCTCCCCCTCCTTCTCCACCTCCTCCTCCTCCTCCGCCTCCTCCACCTCCTCCTCCTCCTCCTCCTTCTCCTCCTCCTCCTCCTCCTCCTCCTCCTCCTCCTCCTCCTCCTCCTCCTCCTCCTCCTCCTCCTCCTCCCCCAGACCCCAGCGTCCGAGCTGCACGCCGGTCAGCTACAGCGCTGGGATCAGCGCGTGCGAGAAGGGCGAGCAGTGGCAGCGGGCCTTGGCGCTGCTGAGCGAGATGCGGGAGGCGAAGCTGGAGCCCAACGTCATCAGCTACGGCGCTGGGACCAGCGCTTGCGGGAAGGGCGAGCAGTGGCATCGGGCCTTGGCGCTGCTGATGGAGATGCGGGAGGCGATGCTGGAGCCCAACGTCATGTCTCTTACAGCGCAGGAGCCCACAAGTGCGAGAGGGACCTGCTGCCAGTGAGGGGGGAACTCGGTCCGGCAGGCCCCAGCGCGCCACAGGGCGACCCTTGGGACGCTCCAAGACGTCCCACCAGGGTCGAGGACTCCAAGAGACAGTCCATGAGAGGCCCCAGGCAGCCGAAGAGGTTTCGGTTTTGGGCTCGGAGACGCCAGAGGAGCCCCAAGACGGTCCAAGAGCGCCCCAAGACGGCCCTGATCTGCGGACGGGCCTAGAAGCCCCAAAGACGTCCCAAGAAGGCTCCAAAGGCCAAAGGCTCCCCCGAGATCGACCAAAGACGGCCCCAGAGTTCCCTAAGAGGGCTCTAAGACGACTCAGTAGGGAAGACGGTCCCCGAGACGACTCCAGGTTGGCCCTAAATCGGCTCCATGCGCAGCCCAAGAGGAGACCAAGTGTTCGGCTTCGCTCTCGACGATGCCATTCGGAGGTTCTTGTGCTCGTCGCCTTTCAACACTCCTTGCTCCTCGCCCACTGCGCCTCGTTCCTCTCTCCTGGATCCTTGCTCATCTTCCTTCATTCCCCCTCGCTCATCACTCCTCTCTCCTGGCCCCTGGAACCTTCAGCGCCAGCACGGCCCCTCCCGGCCTCGGAATGGCCCAACGCGCGTTTCGCAGACGGTCCCCCCAGCCAAGATGACCTCAAGACGGCCCCAACCAGCAACAGCAGCAAGCCAACCAGCAAGCAGGCAAACAGGCCATGGATTGCAGGCCACCAGGCCAGCAGCTTCGCTATCAGGACTGCAGGCTAAACAGACAAGCGATCCTCACCAGCGCATGCGAGTAAGCCTTCGTGGCCGCTGGGAGAATTATGAGCAGATCAGGCCGCTTGCCGTGAACGCAGTCCACAGGTCAGCCCTAGTCAGCTACAGCGTTGGGATTAGCGCTTGCGAGAAGGGCGAGCAGTGGTAGTGGGCTTGGACGTTGACCGGCGAGATGCGGGAGGCGAAGCTGGTGCCCACCGTCTTCTCTGCTACATTGCAGGTCCCCGCGCGTGTCATCAGAGCCTCTGGACAGCCGCAGGAGCCCGACAGCGCAGCAGGTGCTCCAGGAGCAGTCCCCGAGGGCCTCAGGGTGTAATTATGTGAAGTCCGCTCATATCACAACATACCGCGCTGCCCCCATCGCAGCGCCCTGGAAAAGGACTAGCTACCCTCCTTTCTCACCTCTACCTACGGGTTACTGTGTAGGTTCGACTCTTTGGTCGTTAACTTACATACACACAGGGAGCCCCCGGGAGCGCCCGCGGGATGGCCCTGGACGGCCCTTCGGAGCCAGCGGAGGGCCTGACTCGGCCCTTCGGTCAGTGCTAGGGGGGGCGCACCACTGCGGGGGCCGCCGGCTCCTCCTGTGGAAGTTGAGGTTCGAGGCTTGGGTCTCGAGGATCTTTTGCCGACGATGCCTGGCGTGGGGGGGCAGCTCTGGGGGGTCCTGGGGGCCCGATTTCTGCAAGACGGATCAGGCGATCCCAAGCATGGATGAAAGGGGGCGTGGATTAGCGACGGGTCCCGGTTCCACGGGAAGCCGCGGATTCCGGCCGCCGAGCGAGGCGGCACCGGCCGCATTTTGAGGAGTGCACCTCCCCCGATCCATGGATTTGGCGACCGCGCGCCAAATCCATGGATCGCTAATCCATGTCTGCACGCCCCCGAACGGAGGCGACCGTCGTCGTCTCAGTTCGTGGCATTCCCTCTCTGCACTGCCTGGGACCTCACGGCCCAGGGCCGCCCGAACGTGGCCCCAAGGCCCCCTCCCCCTGGAGGCGCCCACGCACACACACACACACACACACGCGCACACACACACACACACACACACACACACACACACACACACACACACCACGGCACTCGTAGGCTCCAGGGGGGCACCCCCATGGGCGACGCAAAGAACGGGGTCTGTGCCGACATTGGCGCGTAAGCTGTCCGCGTAAGCTCGCACTCGCCCTCGTTTCCAGTGTGGCGTGCCGCGCGGGCGGCCCGCGCAAGCCGCGGCCTAAGGCCTCTGTGTCATCTCGCGTAATATCCGTTTTTGATCGTCGCTCGCATGTCACCCGGAGACTCGGGAGGACAAAACGCCCCAGAGAGAAGGCTCCAATTTGGCCCCGAGGGAGCCCGAGAAGCTACAGAGAAGGCCCCAAACTTGCCCCGAGATAGCCCTGGTTTCCGACCGCGCCCGCGCCGAGCCCACTGGGAACATGCTTTTCTGGCCGCTTGTCAAGCCTCCCTCCTTGCTTCTGGCTCCTCACTCTACGCTCCTCGCTCATCGCCCACTGCTCCTCGCCTATCTCTCGCATTGCTCCTCCCTTCTCACTCCTCCTCGCCCCATCGCAGCTCTCTCCTGGCCCCTCGCTCCCTCCTCGTGAATACTCGTACCTCCCTCCTCCGTCCCCGGCTATCCTTCATCCCTCCTCGCCCACGCCTCCTCGACCGTCGTTCCTCCCATCTCGCTCCTTGCTCCTCGCTGGTGGCCCTCGCTTCTCCCTGTTCCCTCCTCGCTCCTGACACCGGTGCTCCTTTTTCTCTTCGATTCACTGGCGAGCAGCAGCTTGCGCAAGCTAGTAGGCCTAGCGAAAAGCAGCACCCTTCAGCATCAAGCAGCAGCCTCGAGCAGCAGCAGAACGCAACACGAACCAAGCCGCAGCTGGGGCAGCAGCGCACGGCAACATCAATCATAAGCACTGAAGCACGCAGGCAATTGCACCCTGCAGCAAGTAGCACGCAGCGAGCAGCACTGGCAATCAGCCTCATCCTGCAGCCACAAGCAGCAGCGACCAGCATCATCAACATCACGCAACAGCGGCAGCAAGCAGCAGCACGAAGTAGCAGGCACGCAGACCTAACCAGCACTGGACACCAGCACGCAGCAGCGCCCCTGGCGGCGGCTCCCGCAGGATTCCCGGCGCCCTTCCGAGCCCTTTCCCTCCTCCCCACCCTCCCCCCTCGCGCCCTGCCCTTCTCACGCTTCGCTGCCCGATCCTCCCCTCCTCGCATCTCCCGCCTGCCAGCCCACGCGGTACCCTACGGGGGCCGCAGGATCGCCCCGGAGAGCCCCGCGAGGGCTCCTCTTTCCCTCCTCGCTCGCTCCCTCTCGCCCCTCCCTGCGAACTGCTTGCTCGTTTCTCGATGCTCCGGGCTCGGGCCCCAGGTCAGCATGCACGACCATCGGCAGCACTCTGCCATGGCATTGCGTGCCAGCTGGAGCAGGCTGGCCGCGGGCCGTGTGGCTGCTCGGCGTGTCGAGCGAGGCGGATGTGTATGTCAGGACGCATCGAGCCACTGCGATGCGATCGTTGCTCTCCTGCGTAGATCCGATGCGACAGGCTAGTCTTGAGTCGGGCTTGTCAATCTACAGGAGGAATATTCAAAGATCGTCGTCCGGGGACGATGTTGCACTATTTATTTGAATTTTGGGGGCATTTTGTTACCATCTTTTCGTCCAAAATCCGCCTCTGGGGGGACACGCCCGACCTAAGCGTAGATCCGATGCGACATGCTAGTCTTGAGTCGGGCCTGTCAATCTACAGGAGGAATATTCAAAGATAGCCGTCCGGGGACGATTTTGCACTATTTATTGGAATTTTGGGGGCATTTTGTTAGCATCTTTTCGTCCAAAATCCGCCTCTGGGGGGACACGCCCGACCTAAGCGTAGATCCGATGCGACAGGCTAGTCTTGAGTCGGGTCTGTCAATCTACAGGAGGAATATTCAAAGATAGTCGTCCGGGGACGATTTTGCACTATTTATTGGAATTTTGGGGGCATGTTGTTAGCATCTTTTCGTCCAAAATCCGCCTCTGGGGGGACACGCCCGACCTAAGCGTAGGTCCGATGCGACAGGCTAGTCTTGAGTCGGGCCTGTCAATCTACAGGGGAATATTCAAAGATAGTCGTCCGGGGACGATTTTGCACTATTTATTGGAATTTTGGGGGCATTTTGTTAGCATCTTTTCGTCCAAAATCCGCCTCTGGGGGGACACGCCCGACCTAAGCGTAGATCCGATGCGACAGGCTAGTCTTGAGTCGGGCCTGTCAATCTACAGGAGGAATATTCAAAGATAGTCGTCCGGGGACGATGTTGCACTATTTATGGGAATTTTGGGGGCATTTTGTTAGCATCTTTTCGTCCAAACTCCGCCTCTGGGGGGACACGCCCGACCTAAGCGTAGATCCGATGCGACAGGCGAGTCTTGAGTCGGGCCTGTCAATCTACAGGAGGAATATTCAAAGATAGTCGTCCGGGGACGATTTTGCACTATTTATTTGAATTTTGGGGGCATTTTGTTACCATCTTTTCGTCCAAAATCCGCCTCTGGGGGGACACGCCCGACCTAAGCGTAGATCCGATGCGACAGGCTAGTCTTGAGTCGGGCCTGTCAATCTACAGGAGGAATATTCAAAGATAGTCGTCCGGGGACGATGTTGCACTATTTATGGGAATTTGGGGGGCATTTTGTTAGCATCTTTTCGTCCAAAATCCGCCTCTGGGGGGACACGCCCGACCTAAGCGTAGATCCGATGCGACAGGCTAGTCGGCTTCAACGCTTGGGCCAGCGCATGCGAGAAGGGTGGGCAGCGGCATCGGACCTCGGACCCTGTGGCTGCTCGGCGAGGTCTGGCGCGCAGAGTGTGACCCTGGCGCTGCCAGCGGCGGGAGAAGCGGGAGGAGTGGCAGTGCGTCGTGGCGCTGCTCAGCGAGAGGTGGGATGCTAAACTGGAGCGCCTGACGCCATCGCCAGTGACAATGGCGAGCGCCAGCACGTTCGAGAGGGGGGACGGGCAGATGTCCGAAGCGTTGTTGCCTATCTCGGGGAGATCGGGGGAGTGGAGTGGAAGACGGACGGCATCGGCCACGATGGCACCGTCGAGGCGTACGGGAAGTGTGCGCACTGGTTGGAAGCACTGCCAGTGGCTCGGGGAATCGGGGACCTCATCGTCTATACAGCCAGCCTCGCCGCGCGCGAGGAGAGTCAGGATCAGCTGCGTACGCTACTGGTGTCAGCGTGTTTAAGAAGGGCGGGCAGTTGGGGAGATGGGGAGCCAGGCATCGCTATCTACAGTGCTGGCATCGGCTCCTCAGGGGAATCAGGATGGCCGGGCACAGCGGTGAAGCTCTGTGCACTTCCACACCAGAGTTGGCCGACGTCGCGTCCGACCCCGGGGAGATGGGCGGGCCCAGCGCAAATTGCCGTGTATAACTAGGCGCAAGGCCTGATGATGGTGCGTTTGGTCCCAGTGCATACTCCAAATCCATTATCAATCGTCCCCCGGGTCCGGTTTTTTAAGGCGCCTTTTTGTAATTCGGGGGGTCCGGTTTGTTAGGGCGCTCTCTTTGGATCTGAGTTTGAGGGGATCTGGTTTATTCGGGTGCCCCGTCGAAGAGGGGGGTCCGACACATCAGGTCGCATTTGTTGGAGGGGTGTCCGGTATTATAGTCGGGCCGGGCGAAAGGGGGGGATTGGGAAAGGGGGGGTTACGAAATTTGCTGCATGCAGCTGATTTCGGCCTCACCGAGGGGCCCATTCCTCGAGACACAGTCGCCTCCGGCGCCGGGAGGCGCCGGGAAAATCAGCTACGTGAGCTGATTCTCAGACCCCCCCTTTGCTATCCCCCCCTTTCGCCCGACCCGATATAGGGGGGGTCGATAAACACGGGATTTGGAGTATCCCTCCTCGGGCATTGGCCAACGGAGGGTGGCCACCACTCCCGCGTAAATCGCCTGCTCTGTGTGCCCGCCCTTGCTCGGGTGTGCAGCCCGAGGGTGCGGAGCCACTGGCCGGCCAAGGTTAAGTCGGGCATGTCCCTCTTACAGAGGGAATATTCAAAAACAAATATTCAAAAACAAATATTCAAAAAAATAGTATGGGACCGATATCTCTGGCATGTTTTATATGTTTTGGTTATTTGCTTGCTATGTTTAGTCTTTCCTCCAAAATCGGCCTGTAGGGGGACAGGCCCGACTTGGCCCCAGGAGGATGGGCCCTCTCTCCTGCTGGGGACAGCCCGCGAGTGTCGTGGGACTCGAAACGGCAAGTTCTCGAGATCAAGAAGGGGGTGGTCCCCGCGTTTCGCCTGAGACGACTTGGATATCTCCAGCTGTTACATGGATGAAGGGCGGTGTTGTTCGAAATGCGGACGTCATTTGGCGTTCGGCTTTTTCGCCTTACGGCTTCCAGAAGTTCACTGACGGAAGGCCATTTGTTGTTGTTCAGCGCTGTTGATTCTGAAAGTTTCAACGGCTACACGGTTGGAGGACAGGTGGTTTTGAGGTTGCGGCTCTCGTTGGAGAGCCGCGCGCATGCTGAAATCCTTTGACAGCTGCTCGATCGGTTTTCATCATGCGGTTGTCGCTGGAGCGCAGCTCACACGTGTCTCAGACGCGTCTCATGGTAGGGCGGTACTTCATTAGTGAATTTAATTGGTTTTTGGGTTTTAACAAATGGTCGCAGCCACGCAGAGGGCGTGCGTAGCGACGCCCCAAATGCTCGGTCTCCAGTACTTCTGCGTGGCGGCGCCCCCGCAGGCACGCAGAGGGCACGCGTGGCGACGGGGGCGTCGCCACGCAGAGCTTCTAAAGACCAAATATTTTAAAAACCAATTGTTTTCACTACCAAAGTACCAATTCAACATGTGTTTATCGCGCGAGTTTGTGGAGGAGAATCCCCTTCACATTGAGCTCATGCCAGAATCCGTTTCGTGTATGACCAGATGTTCAAACGTGCGCAACAGAGCTACACGTATGGAGGCGGGGTCTTTGTCAAAACGGGAGTCGCTACGAACGCCCATATTGCTGAGGCCTTACGGCCGGTGCCGCCGACCCTGGAGGCCTCGGCCCTCGACGGAAATGGGAGGGAGAGTGCGGGCCATGGGCCCCGGGAGGGTGGCATTCTGACCTGCATGGGACCCCCCCGGATCCGTATCCATTTTAGCTCAAGCCATTATGGCTCAAGTCCAGACAGTAAGCCTGCGAAACGGGGAAGTCCCCGTAGGGTAATCCGCGCTGGCCCAAGTTTTTGCAATGCAAAACACACGCCAAGTCATGTCGCCATGGGCCGCTCACCATGGTGCTCATGGCGCTCAGGCCTGGCAGAAATGGTGGTGGCAGTGCGGCGCCTGCCAGGGCTGGAACCAGTGCGCCGTCAAGACGTGCCGGACGTGCGGGATCAAGAAATCCAGGGCCCAGAGCGTCTCACCGCAAGGAGCCCCGGCGCCGGCAGCAGCCGGGCAGCTCGTTGGCCAGGCCCCGGAGCCGTTCCACACGCAGTCGGTGGACAAGGACAGGGCCATCGAGAGGGCGGCCCACATCGGGAAGATCAGGCATCTGGAGTCCGCTCTTGCTGCTCTCCCCGAGGCAGATGCCTCTCTGGCCCCAGCTCGCAGCGCCCTCGAAACCCAGCTGACGACGGAGAAGAAAGCAGTTACGGCCACGCGTTCGGTGGCAAGCCAGATCGAAGGCTGCGAGCAAGCCGTCGAGAGAGCCCGTGGCCGGCTCTCGAGACACCGCCAGGCGCTTGCGGATGCAAGCGCGGGCATTGCGAAGGAGGAGGCCGCCATGCGGGAAATGGAAGGCGGGCTGGTGAAGCTGCGCTCCCAGATGGCAGTGACGGTGTCGACGCCAGTGGACTCTATCCAGGCGGCCTCGGCGGCCCTGAATTCGCTGCTCGGCGACATGCAGTCTTCGTCGGTGGTGCCGCCAGCGCACGTCCAGCAGGCCCAGCAGCAAGTCGCCCTCCTCCTCGAAGGCGTTCAGAAGATTGCTGCAGCAGCCCAGGGTGCATCGGCGGCCCAAGGCAATGGTCCCAAGTGGGTCGGCGATGGAAGCGTCCGCCTTCACAACCGCAGTGAGGCCGCTGGAGGATGCAGCCCTTCAGGCGCCAGACCCAGCGGCGAGCCGTCGCCCTCTGCGCACAAAGACTGCTCCGGAGCACGCCCCGCAGTTCGCTGCCGCCAGCTTGCAGGCAGCCGCCCAGGTGGCAGTCCCTCCCGAGGCGGCGGCCCATGGAGGGGGGCGACAGCAGCCCAGACCCTAACGTCCATTGCACGAGAAGGTGGCGGCCGAGGACGGCCCGGGGATAATTACTCCGACGGAAGGACCCCACATGATAATCTGTTTAGCTTTCCCTTATCCCTTTCCTCCCGGCCATGGCAAACACCCTCGTATCGCCCTCTCCTCTGCCATCTTTTCCTCTTCTTCTATTTCCCCCCCCCTCCTTCTCCTCCTCCTCCTCCTTCTCCACCTCCTCCTCATCATCGCCCTCCCCATACCCCTTCCGTCCTCATCCTCCTCCTGCCTCTTTTCCACGTGCACGTCCCTTTCCCCGCGGTCGGGGGAAGCAAGTCGATTTTCCTCGGCGCCGTCGCCGCCTCGGTCAGAACGCGCGCGTTTGCCGACGGCCAGATCGCGAAGCCGTCGGGTCAACCCTTCGGGCCAGCCATGCCTGCGGGGCACTCCCGCGGGCCGCCGGAGCGCGAGGGCAGGCCGTCGGGACAACCCCGCGGGCCAGGCCGTTGGGACAACCCCGCGGGCCTCCTCGCGCGCGCCGCGGCGCTCAGGCGGGCGGCAGCACGAAGCCCAGCTCTGCCGCGAGCTGCTCCGCTTCAGCCCTGGAGTCCACCGCTCTCTCGTCGAACTCCTGGAGCGCCTTCCGCAGCGACGCCGGCGGCCCGCGCTCCAGGAACTCTCGCGCGGGCGGCCGCAGGATCAGCATGTTCCGCATGCACGTGGCGCGGGAGAACATGACGTAGAGGTGCAGCCACCACATATCGTCCGACATGCCCGTGCGGCCAGCGTCCTCATCCCTGGCGCAGTCGATGGTGACGCCCTTGCGCAGCGTCTGGCCCTGCGACAGCGTGGAGGTCAGGTAGGACGCGTGCGTCAGCGTGAATCCCGAGCGGCGCACAGTGTGCGCCCCCGAGCTCTGCCACGTGAGCTCCTGCTCGCTGGGCCTGAACATGAGCAAGCTCCTCGCCCGCGCCTGGGCCTCGCCGTCGTCGTCAGCGCCCTCGGTGCCCTGCAGCAGCACCTCGGCGACCTCCTTGTAGATCGGGGACTCCTGGAAGCCGTGCACATGCAGCCAGATTCCCTGCGGTAGGAAGCGGGGGCGGAAGAGCTGGCCCGGCGCGCACTCCTCGTAGTCCCGCTCGTCGTCTGCGCGAAACTCGAAGGACACGATGGTGGCCCGTTGCTCCTGCACGAGCCCCAACTTCTTCTTCAGCTCCTCCTGCACGGCCGTGAACCGGACCTCCATGCCGACGTGTGCCGGTAAGACGCCGTGGATGTCCCCCGTCTTGTGCATGTTCGGGACGTTCAGGAGGCGCCGGCCTGCGTCTGGTTCGCCTTGAATCGTGCCGCACTCGTCTACGGCCTGCAGGAAAACGAGGGGGGCGCCGAGGCGCCGCGCGTCGCGACGAGCGCGCGTGTTGATCCACCTCGCCAGCGTCTCCCAGTAGATGCCCATGCCGTAGCCGAGCCGAAAGTTCTCGTGCTGGTGCCGAGGGTCCAGGACGCCGTGGTTGTCAGAGGCCAACGTCTTCTCCCAGGCAGACCAGACCTCTGGTGGGAAGCGCTTGCCCTCGCGCATGCAGCCCAAGAACGCGATCAGAGGGTCCCCCGGCTCGAAGCGCTTCGTGCCCTTCAGCTCGAAGACGCAGGGGATCTGAGAGAATGCCCTGATGGCGTGCTGGATCTCCACCGTCGGCGGCTCCGCGTACTTGTACGACCCGTCGTCCAGGAGCTCGTTCACGTCCGTCAGGAGCCCGATGCTGCCGGTGGGCTTCAGCTGCAGGAAATCCCCGAGACTGGAGAGGGAACCTTTTCAAGTTCCCTCTCCAGTTGGAACGCGCGGGGAAGTGAACCTTTGCAAGTTCCCTTTCCCGCTGCTGGAGAGTGAACCTTTGCAAGTTCCCTCTCCAAGGGAAAGTGAACCTTTTTAAGTTCCCTTTCCCGCGAATGAAGGGTGAACCTTTTCAAGTTCCCCCTTCACTCCGACGACAAGGGGGGACAGGGAACCTTTGCAAGTTCCCTCTCCCGCAGCTAGAGACGTCGAACCTTTTCAAGTTCCCTCTCCAGCCCAATCCTGCCACGAACGGGAAAGTGAACCTTTTCAAGTTCCCTCTCCCGCAGCTAGAGAGTGAACCTTTTCAAGTTCCCTCCCCAGCCCAAACGAACGCGGGAGAGTGAACCTTTTCAAGTTCCCTCTCCCGCCGACGACGACAAGGTTGGCCAGCAATTGGACGTGGGCAAGTCGAAAGAGAATATTCAGGCCGCAGGAGCGAGTTCCCCTTCGATCCTCCAAGTGACGACAAGAGACGGTCCTCAGACGGGACTACCCGCACCGCCCACAGACAAAGTTCCCGCTTGATACTTCCCCCTTGTTCAGGCCGCAGGAACTGAGGAGCCCAAAAAGCTCGCTCGGATGACCCGCTCGGGTTCGAACATGAAGTGCGTGCCCCACAGGGATGGAGCGCCAGCCTGATACTTCTCCCATATTCAGGCCTCAGGAGCCCAAAAGCGACGACAGTTACAGGTTTCCGATGACCCGCTCGGATTAGTAAGATGATCTGCGGGCCCCATAGGGAGGGGGCTTCCGCCTGAGACTTCCTCGCAAGTCACTCACAGACGAGGCCCCCGCCTGATCCTTCTCCCATATTCAGGCCTCAAGAGCCCAAAACTGACGACAGTTACAAGATTCCGATGGCCCGCCTCGGATTAGTAACATGATCTGGGGGCCCCATAGGGAGGAGACCCCCGCCTGAGACTTCCTTGCAATTCACTCACAGACGAGGCTCCCGCCTGATACTTCCTCCAAATTCACGCCCCAGGAGCCCAAAAGTGATGACAGTTACAGGATCCCGATGGCCCGCCTCGGATTGGTAAGATGATCTGCGGGCCCCATAGAGAGAGGCTCCCGCCTGAGACTTCCTCGCAATTCACTCACAGACAACGCTCCCGCTAGATACTTCCTCCAGATTCACGCCCCAGGAGCCCAAAAGTGACGACAGTTACAGGATCCCAATGGCCCGCCTCGGATTAGTAAGATGATCTGCGGGCCCCATAGGGAGAGGCCCCCGCCTGAGACTTCCTCGCAAGTCACTCACAGACGACGCTCCCGCCTGATACTTCCTCCAAATTCACGCCCCGGGAGCCCAAAAGTGACGACAGTTACAGGATCCCGATGACCCGCCTCGGATTAGTAAGATGATCTGCGGGCCCCATAGGGAGAAGCTCCCGCCTGAGACTTCCTCGCAATTCACTCACAGACGAGGCTCCCGCTAGATACTTCCTCCAGATTCACGCCCCAGGAGCCCAAAAGTGACGACAGTTACAGGATCCCGATGACCCGCCTCGGATTAGTAAGATGATCTGCGGGCCCCATAGGGAGAGGCTCCCGCCTGAGACTTCCTCGCAATTCACTCACAGACGACGCTCCCGCCTGATACTTCCTCCAAATTCACGCCCCAGGAGCCCAAAAGTGACGACAGTTACAGGATCCCGATGACCCGCCTCGGATTAGTAAGATGATCTGCGGGCCCCATAGGGAGAGGCTCCCGCCTGAGACTTCCTCGCAATTCACTCACAGACGACGCTCCCGCTTGATACTCGAGTGAGTGACGGACTGACTGAGTGATGTGTGACGCCAACGGATGATATCCTCATGTGATGATCATGATGAGTGAGTGAGTGAGTGAGTGAGTGAGCGATCGAGTGGTGTATGGGTAAGTGTGATGGTGCTGAGGAGGAGAGGCGTGGGTCATGATGATGATGACTGATGATGATGATGGCGAGAAAGAGGAAGAGAGAGAGAGAGAGGGTGTGAGATCCTGCGCGGGGGGGTGCAGAGAAAACAAGAACCCCACTTTGGATGTGGGGAAAAAAGCAATTCGTATTCGCGCTGCCACCGCAAATGTCCGGACTCTTAATTCGTCGAAGTACGAAGGCGAGTGCATGACAGCAGCGGGCGTATCCTCCTTTGGACGCGCCCAGCTGTTGGAGAAACAAGTCAACGACATCGGGATAGATGTGCTGTACATACAGGAGGGACGATCTCCCTTCGAGCAGATCAAGACAGGGATATTCTGCGACATGGCCATCGCGGCCGCCACGCCTGCCGGCCAGCTTGGGGCCCAGATCTGGCTGCGGCACCAACTCAAGCCTCGCGAGCTGTTCCTGGAAGCCGTCTCCCCCGGGATCATGATCCAAGTTATCAGCTTGCCCAACGGCGCCGTGCTGACGGTTACATGTGGCCATGCTCCCACCGAGGACGCTGAGGACCACGATGAACGCACGTTTTGGGGCGCGCTTCTCGAATGGGGGCTGTGGGCACGCACGAAGTGGCCGAGAGGAGAAACTTTCTTGGGAATTGATGCCAATGCCAGTGTGGGAGAGATCACCACAACATCCATTGGTGGTTTCCTGCCAGCGAAAGTAAAAGAGAACGGGACGCATTTTCGCATTTTCCTGGATAACACAAGCCACGCCCTTCGAGCCTTGAACACTTTCGCTGGTGGCTTACACGTGGCGGAGTGCACGCGGCACGGTGGCAAGGATCGATTATGCGTGCGCTTCGGCGGAGCCCGACTGTGAGCAGGACCCGCCCCGCGTCCTTGATGAGATCCAGCTTGCCACATGCCAGTATGAAGATCACAGGTCTGTAGGGGCCGGCTCTGTCATACATCCAGGCGACATGCCAACGCGCACACACACACACACACACACCAGCAACAATATCAGCATCGACAAGATCCTCCTCAGAGATGGGAGGCGCCAGGCAGCCTTCCAGGACAGGCTATGGACGAGCGTCGGCGAGATCGAAGCCATCGAGGACATCGACGACAAACTCGAGGCGGCCATCGAGGTCGTCAGGAAGGCCACCCTGGAAACCTTCGGCCCGGCCGCCAACGCCCCGAGGCAACCGTGGATACTCCCGCGCACGTGGGAACTTCTCCAGCCCCTCCCCCGCATCAGGCGCGTGATGCACGACATCAGCGTGGCGTCCAGGCGCCATGCGCTCCTCGTCGCATGGCACGCGTGGCCGTCGCTGCGATCGGTCCGCCCGAGCGAGCCCGCGCCCGGCGAGGTGGCCCCCCGTGGATGGCGCGCCATCGCGCTCCGACAGCAGGCCAACCGCATCCGGAAGGCGTTCGTGATGATGTATTACCAGGGCCAGACCGTCGTCAAGATTGCCCACCGGGCCCTCTGGAAGACGATCTTGAACGATAAACGCATCTTCCTGGAGATGGCGCGGCGCGCAGCCCGCGCCGGGGAGCGAGGGGGCAGCGAGGAAACATTTCGCATTGTTCGGCTGCTTGGGGATCCAAGCCCCGAGCCGCGGAAAACATCGCCAAGAAAGACGGGGCGCTCGCTCAGACGCCAGAGGAACGCACCCAGAGGTGGGTGGAACATTTCGCAGAGCTCTTCGCGGACCCCACGCAAGCATCACGGAGGGATGCGAGCACGCTGGTCTGCGGCCCTGCCCCCGGCGGCAGCTTCGATCCGACGCTCGAGCAGATCGAGGCCAAGGTCGCGAAGTTGACCGGCGACAAAGCATTTGGGCCCGACGACGCCTCGCCCGGGGTCGCCAAGGCAGGAGGCCGCGCCATCTCCATCCCCATCCGATGAGCGCTCCGGTACACTGTGCAAGCCGCGAAATGGCCTGCGAGGTGGAGAGGGGGCCGAATGGCCACGCCTTGGCAGCGGAAAGGGTCTCCAGCCGACTGCGGCAACCATCGCGGGCTCCTTGCGGCGGACGCGATGTTTAAAATCCCGATTGGCCTCATCATAGACAATATTCAGCAGGCTGCTGAGGGGCGCCCCCCGCAGAGCCAGCGCGGGGGGCGCGCGGGTGGAGGGGCGGACTTCCCGACCCACGCGCCGATGGAGATGTTGAAATTCTCGCGGCCCCCGCGTCGGCCGCGATAATTTTTTCGACTTGGCGCGAGCCTTTCGCGGGGTTGTCCGGCAGATAGTCTACGGAGTGGAGGCGGCCGATGGCCCTTCCTGCGTAGTCGACGCTTCGAGCGCGGGTTGCTTTGCAGGTTCGGGGCTGAACGTGCACGCTGCCTTGCACATAGTCGCGCGCATTGCCTCGTCGGGGGCCGCGCTCGATCGATGAAGGTGGGCCCCTCCGTCACCGCGCTCATCAGGGCCCTGCATAAGGACGCCTGGTTCGCAATTCAGGGCGCGGACGAGGTGGTGGTCACCGCCGAGGGCGGCCGACGAGGCTGCAAGTTGGGCGGCTACGTATTCTGCATCGACTACGAAGATGCCTTAAACAAGATAAGGGCTCGCCTCCGAGCTGCCGGCATCTTCTTGACCTCCAAATCTGATGATGGCAGGCCGTCCTTGACATCGGCAGACGAGGCCGCCGACGAGGACGCGACCATTGAGGCCACCTTCGTCGACGACGAAGCCGTAGCTATAGCCGCCAGGTCGCCGTCGGAGCTGCCCGCCGGCGTCGCCGCCGCCCTTGACGTCTGCGACGAGATCTCCTGCGCCTTCGGCCTGAAGACCAATTGGAGGAAGGGGGCAAGTGAAGCATTCGTCCGCTGTCGCGGGCAGGGGCCCACCAGAATGCTCGACAAGCTCAGGTCCGACCGAGGTCGCATGGTCCAGCTTGCGGGCGGCGAGACATTCATGCGCGTCGCCGCGCAATTCCAGCGCCTCGGCGGCGTCGTCGCCTCCGACGGGGGCCTTGCGACGGAAGCCAGGCACCGGGCCTCGTCGGCTTTCCCGGCGCGCGCCCCCGTGGCGCGATAGATTATTGGATCCATAGCCATAGAACCAAGTCTTAAACTTCCATTTGACGGGGGGCTTGATTTTCTCACGGCCGTTATACAACGCGTTCGCGTGGAACGTGGCAGTTCCCGCGCCCCGGAAGCTCAGCGCCCCATGCGTGAAGGTCTTGAGGCGGATCTTGGGCAATGCCCCTCGCGAAGGGGCCCCGAGGTGGTCGGGTCAGCAGGTTCGCGTCAAATTGGGCCAGTGCTCGATCGACTGCCTGACCCCCATCAGAAGGCTCAAGTACTGCGGGCTGCTTGCGGCGCGCAGGCCCCGGCCTTTGTGGGCCCCCGTCCAAGCCCGACCGCGGGGGGGGGCGCCGTCCGCGCGCAGCGCAAGTGGCCAGAAACATCGAAGAGCCGTGCGAACACACCCCCGGATCACGCAACGCGCCTCCAGTCGAGGCGGCCCCCCAGACGCGGGCGGGGATGATGGCCAGCCCTGACTGGGCCCAGTGGGTCCGACAGGTGCACTTCTCTGAGTCTGTTTTGGACACATGCCATCCCAGCAAGCATCGGCAACCGCCCCCCGCAATTTTCACGCGCCCAGTGTGCAAATGGATTCGCCTCCCACAAAGCCCTCCTTCAGCGCGGCCGGATTGCTCAGAAGCAGCGCGCGCGAGTGCGCCTCTTCCTAGATGACAGCGGCGCGTGCCCAGCGCGCAGCATAAAACTTGTCGAAAGATCCCGTGTCGCACGAGACGTGACCGACAAGAGGCGCCCGCGGTGCCGAGACTGCATGTTGGCATCGCTGGATCCCTTCGACTCTTCGCTCGCACAGACATGGGAGGATCGAGACAGGGCCCGCCTCAGACAGGCCCGTCAGCAAGGATCCACCCATATCGTGGCCTCCGGCTCAGCCAACGCAGCGGCTGGCAAGAGGATCGGCCGAGTGTTGCGCTAAAGCGCGTCTTGTGTGTTTGATTGCTGCAACTTGAGGTTATCCCGTGGAAGCCTGGCCAAGCAAACAGCAAACAACAAAACCGCATGGAGAGGCATAGAAACTAAGAGCAGCTCTTTTCCTTAAAAAGCTAATGTCCGAGTGCCATCCAGGCATTTGGCTGAGTGGGATTGGTTTTAGGCATTGGTGGGGAGGGCACTGGAGACGACAGGGTGTATTTTAGTATCGTTGACGTATTCAAGATTCAAGGCAAACTGCTGTTCCCATCCTCATATTCATCCATTATCTCCTCCGCTTTTCCGCCCCGCCTCTTCAAAACGGGCCCCAGGATCGATTCCAACGCGCGCTGCGAGAACCTTTCTACAGGCTTGTCCAGCCGCGGCAGCGAGGACGCCCCAAGGGCTCAGAAAGACTACAGATGGATAGAACCACCAGCGCCCATGATGTAACAACGACGACGACGACAGCGACGACGACGACGACGGCGACAGCGGCGGCGGCGGCGGCGGCGTCGGCGAGGCATATCATGGTGGTAACGACGACGACGACGACGACGACGACGACGGCGGCGGCGGCGAGGGAAATCATGGTGGCGATGACGACGACGCCGGCGGTGGCGGCTGCGGCGGCGGCGAGGGAGGTCATGGCGGCGACGACGGCAGCGACGACGGCGACGACGACGACGGCGGCGGCGGCGGCAAGGGATATCATGGTGGCGACGACGACGACGACGACGACGACGACGACGGCGGCGGCGGCGAGGGAAATCATGGTGGCGATGACGACGACGCTGGCGGTGGCGGCTGCGGCGGCGGCGACGGAGATCATGGTGGCGACGACGACAGCGACGACGACGACAACGACGGCGGCGGTGGCGGTGGCAAGGGATATCATGGTGGCGACGACGACGACGAAGACGACGACGACGACGACGGAAACGGCCGCGTCGGCGGCGTCGGCGGCGGCGGTGGCGGCGGCGGCGAAGGAGATCATGGTGGCGACGACGACGACGACAGCGACGACGACGATAACGACTGCGAGGGCGACTGCGACGACGCCCTCGCTCAGTGCATGATTTTTTGCTTCAGGATATGCCGACAATGAGCCTCCTGCGGGGGAGGGTCGAAGGCCTCCCTGCTGCGGGAGGCCCGCGGCGGCGACGCTGGCGCTGGCCTTCAAGGGTCACATATTGATCCTATCAGGAGGAAGGCGAAGCCTTTCGGATAGTGGACGATTTAGAGACGCAGATGCTTCACACATCAAGGGCACAAACAACACTCCCAGTGCCTACTGTGCTGGCATTGGTACGCAGGTGGCCTTGCCCGGTTTTGTCGGCGCCTATTGTGCTTAG